TCGGCAAAAAGCAAAGAAGAGAAGGGACAAAGAAGATTAGGTTAAGTTGATGGGTCGAATTAACAACTGGGCGTCGTTCCATAAAATTAGATTTGGATTTCGCGCAGAGTTCACAAGACGACACGTGCGGTGTCGTGACACGAGACATCGAGATCACTGCGATTAAAAAAATAATAATAAAATAATATTAATCTTTTTTTTTCTTTTAATATTAATCTGACTGGTCAATATCGTTGTGCCGCTCAGCACAGCAACCAACCTGAACCACAATTTTCTCAACTGTTTCTTTCTTCTCATCATATTTACCTTTTTAACCTTTTATACCATTTCTATACTACCCCTCCCGAATTCTTAAAAAAATATTGCTAAATTTAAAATTTACTAAAATAATATTACCTTTTAATAAATTTAAAAGCACAAATAAGTATAGTTCAACCGTTAAGACATATATATACAAAACAAAACTGAGTAGATATTCATTTCTTTAAGATGGAAGTATTAAAAAATTAAATTTAATTTATTTTAAACTACTCCATATTAAATTTACAAATTAATAATAATGTTTCACTAAGAAAAGGTAATACTATAAATAAATTAAAGACAGTCAACTAAGTAACTAATTTTATTTTAAATTATTTTATGTAAGGTTTATGATGTCAATGCGTGATCCCACCATTTTTTCTATTAACATAGGGGATCTCTTAATATTTTCATTTTTCTTTATTGAGGCCATAGTTCTTTCATTGTTATAGCGTACACCAATGCTACTTTATCCGGTTATACATTAATAAAAAGTTGTTATAATACAATGTAGAAGCTTTAACATTGAGATTTTGACACGTCATAATTGAAGTATGATTCCAATTTTTTTAATTATGTAATTGAATAATTAATATTATAAACTAAATTAAAATATATTTGTGAGTTATAATGAAATAAAGTAAGGTATAAAGACAAAAGCGTTGAAAGTTGCAAGCTATAAAGACTAACTAGCTGGATCATACACTTATCTTTTACTTCTATTTTTTTTTATTTTTATAATTATTTTTTGGAAGTTTAGTTTCATTGAGTGAATCTTTTGATTAATAAAATATAAGTCACATGACTAATATGATCATGTACCTACTTATTTGTAAACGAGTGAACTAGTCTTGAATTATGCATTCAAGTTGTAATTAATGTAATGTACTATTGAAAATTATTTGGAACTATAATAATGATTAAAAAGGCTAATCATTTTAGTTTTTCACAATATAGAATGTTCAATGAAAATGATTGAGGGTTCCAAAATGCTATAGTTAACTGTTAAAGATCCCAAATTGAAAAGATACGGACTGAACAAAAGTTTATAATAGACGTGAACTATTCTCTTATTGTCAATGATTTTGAGATAGAACCACATGAATATTAATAACAATATCTTGAGTCAATAATCGAAGAAAAAAGATTTCCCATTTGTAATAATCTAACTAAATTCAATTGCGCGGTTCAACGGTTAAGGTGTATCTTTACTTTCTCTCCAGAATATATGTTACAAGTTCAAATGTTTACCTGCATTTTGTGATAGTGGCGATATTGATCTTTTCTTAAATAATCTACATTTTTTCACATATATACACTAATACACTATTTCACTTAAACCACAGTCATATGACCATGGTCTATCGAAATAGAATACGATTTTTTTACAATGGTATATATATACGAAGAGAATATAAAAAATTTAAAGGAAATATGCGTGAGATAATAGAATGAAGACTAGTTATGTGCAAGAAAAAAGAATCTACTACTAGTCTACAATCAAATACTTTAAAATATGAATATCAACTCGTGGTACCTCATGGTTTTAATGTCAATGGAAATATCAAAAAAATGTCGATGTTCGATGGACATTTTTTAAAAGAATCATATAAATTAGAAAATTAATAGAAATATTTAAATTATTACCATTCACTTTTTCAAGTAAGTTAAAAATTTTCATATTATTAATATTACCTGCATGATATTTTTTAAATTTCATCGAATTTTTATAGTTATAATGGACATATCGATTCAGTGTCAAATCCATATAGATATATAAAAATGTTAATGAAAATATCGACATGTCGATGAAAATTTTACAGTAACATTATTAAGTTGTTAAAGTTACCTATTAAATGCATAACTTTTCTTAGTTTAACTCACAAAAACATTAGCAGGTTTCCTCGAACGTTTCCAATATTTTTCATGTGTATAAAACAAAAGATTTGGCATATAATTTATGGGAAGAAAAAACTATGACGTGTTCTATTTTTTTTTTTTGTTTTTGGGGACAATTCAAGTATTCAAAAACTTGGGAGACAAGTTGTAATAATGGTGAAAAGTTAATGAACGGATAGAATTTTTGTACAATAGACAAGTGGGAATACGACTTTCATTTTGTTTCTCATGTGATGTATTTCCAGTCATATATTTGATCATATTAAATTTTATTTATTTATTTATTTATTTATTTGGTTGTACAGCACATACGTTGATGCAAGAAGGGGATCATGGCCTGTAATCCAAGTTGTTAAGCATCTCACATTCAACGGGAACGATCCTAACAAATATTTATAATAGATATGTATTGCACCTCACAGTCAATTGATTTTGAAATTGAACAACATGAATATTAATATAGTATCATAGCGCAAAACGCTCAAACAAATATCGGTCCAAAAATAGAATCCAGCTAAGATCGTATTTGAAACATTGCTTATCAAGAATCTTTTCCCCTTCAACAATTATATTCAGTAGAAAGTAAATCCAACTACACAATAAAAGAATATATAGGGAAAGCACAGTAGAACAATATAAAAAATTTATACTTATTCACCCAATTAGCAAGCGCGGCTACGTCCAATTTTTTGCAATAAGCAGGTTCTACTATAATGAGATTGATACCATGAGCATTTACAAATCTCTAAACTCTAGAGGCTTCAGCAAAAGAACCACCTATGTGCTAGGAACTATATATCAATAATACGATCCTAAAAACCAGGAATGAAAACCTCAACAAATACCCACAAGAACTAGTTGCCGACATACACGACAACCCCAAGATCTTGCCTCTGTCTCTCTACCAAGAGACTGCCGTCTCAGCCTCAGATTTTGTGCACCAACAGAATCCACGCCCCTCAATATTATGTAACAACCTAAATCAAAGAGCAGTATTTAAAAAATACGTCGCAATGTTGAGAACCTTTCCACGACGTCTCGACGCTACGACTTTTGTAGCGTTAGAATGCCTGCCCACGCCTCTCCATGTTTTGTTCTAATTTTGACAGTGTTGAAACGCTCCCTATAGCATTTGAACGCTATGTCCTCGGCCAACATGGCTTTTGCAGCATCTCTTCATTCCTTTTCACTTCTTCTCTCATTTTTTGGCTCTACCAATCCCAATAGATTGGTGAACAATGATTCTAAGGGGTTATGTTAAGAATTCCATTAAAAAGATAAATTACTTAACAAATGTTTATATCTTCCCTCTCCCAATTCATTTTGAGATGGAACTCCATGAATATTAATACAAGTAAATAAATTTTTTTACCATTTTAGATCTCTATAATTGGAGCTCGTTGTCTACTAATACTGTAACCAACACAGGACTCAAAAACAAGATTTCATGAGTAGGTGATACCACAAGGCCTCATGTTCTTATCACTACACCATCTCTAAAGACAACAAAAATAGAGAGTTAAGTGTTAAGTTTCTCGATTTTGAACAAATTCTCCCCACATTTTCACAATGATACCAGACGGAAGGGAGAAGAGAATTAAAAGGATACAAAATGAAAATGAGATGTAAGGTGTTGGGTAAGGTCTAACATGGGTTGTTGCTGGGGAGAGTGACAGAGTGAGGGCCTCTTAGTAGGCAGATACACAAGCATATTTTCCTTAACCCACTTGAACTCTTGCCCCATTTCAGCGACAACCCTCAGAATCCACAGTATGGACCACGATCCACCTGCTCTCTCTCTCTCTCTCTAATCTAATTTCATAACCATACAAACAACCGTTTCTCTATCTAAAGTTTACTTACAAACCCTACTAATTATTAGAATTTATTTTGTTTACTCCTAATGTTCCAGCCACTTTCTCAATTTAGTCCTTATTCTTTAAAAAGTTTATTTTATTATACCGTTGTAAATATTGATGGATGATCAATCGGTCCAAAAAGACTAGAGTTAATTGAGAAATAATAGGTTCAAATCTATGATAACCACCTACTGGATGATGAACTTGCATGAAATGAGGGAGATATATACACCTTACTTGGTCATAATACCTATCTTAAATGTTGACTTTCTTTTTCTTTTTTAACTTAAATCCTCATTTAAATTTCTACCATCAACCAACCTAACATTCATTAAAGGAAAGGATATAATTAATTAAAAAAATTTAAAATATAAAGGACTAATTTAAAACTTGTTAAACTAAATTAATAATCACCCAAAGATTAAAAAATGCCTATTTAACTTAACTATCAAGTATAAGTTTAAAATCAATCAATTCTTAGATCATTGTTGATATTGGTTATCAAATAATACAAATTTTAAAATGAAAAATATATTTAGCTCTAACTTCCTATCATCGTCACTACGGAATATTTTCAAGAACTAATAAATTTTAAATTTTACAAATGTAGTCAGCATGAAGATAGGTCATCGTCAGTTTGCAACTGTGGCCAATATGAGAAGATAGGTCATCGTAAGTATTTTTCTTCTGAAATTCTGTCTCATACATCTAACGGTGTAGAATTGCCCGCTACGCTCCAAATAATTTGGGTATGAGAGAGAGAGAGGGGTAGCATTGGGGCAGTGGGTTATCCCATGCAGTTGTCCGCTTGAAGGGCAGCAAAGGGCGTCTCTATGAGTCCGGGTTCAACCCTCCCTTATCTCTCTGTCCCTTCACTCCTCTTTCTCTCTCCTATATATACCAAATACAATATCCTTCATCCCCATAACTTTGCCAATTCTCTGTTCTCTCTCTCCCTCTGACAAATCCCACTTTCTCATTATTTGTCTCTCTCTCTCTCCTCATTCATTTTTCTGTTTATCTGGTTACTGGGTTGGAGGCTGTGTTTTAAATTATTGTCTGCAGAATAATATACACATACATATATACATATATATATAGGTATATAATGTCGAGCAGAAGATCATCGCGTTCTAGAAACTCCGCTTCTATTTCTGCTCATATCTCTGATGACGAGATTGCCGATCTTGTTTCCAAGTTGCAGCGCCTCATCCCTGAGATTCGTAACAGGCGCTCCGATAAGGTAATCCTCTCTCTCCTTTTAGATGAAATATCGTCGTTTCGTCGCTGTCACTTCTAAAACAAAGAAGGGGAAAACAGCTGTGAAGAAGAAAGACTATTATTCTTTATTTTTGTGTATATATTTTCAAATACGTACTTCCTACCAAGCTTATTAATTTTGTCTGGCGACATGTCGGCTCGTGGGACTCGTGTTGTTCCCCATACACCAGCAATGCAGCTGAGGAGTTTTGAAAATACACAAAATTTCGCTTAATCTTTTTCAGCCCACCTTTTCCAACAAAACCACTCCTCTAAGAATGAGAAGTATTATGGCAAAATATTTTTTAAGTACAACAAATAAGACGAGAGATTCAAATTCAAAACTTCTTAACCAGAGATGTATATGAATTACAGTTGAACTACGTTCATGTTGGTCACACAACATATGACAGATCGCTATCAAACATACCCCTAGTCAAGTATTTTCTTTGGAAAGTTTTTTCTTTTTATTTTCTAATTTTTGTTTATTTTTTGGGCGTAGGTGGCAGCTTCAAAAGTGCTACAGGAAACATGCAACTACATAAGGAGTTTACATCAGGAAGTGGATGATTTAAGTGAGCGATTGTCTCAGCTTTTGGCCGCAACTGAAAACGGCAGTGCCGAGGCAGCCATTATTAGGAGTTTATTCATGTAAACGGCTTAAAACGACTCCTCTACCCCATTATACGGCGTCGTTTCCCTCGTTATTTTCATTTTGGTCACCCTTCTCTCTTTATATTTATATATATATATAATAGTATGATTAATTAGGTAGGTCTTTTGGCCAATGTATTAGGCCATTACACAAAAGGGTGCTATATCATACATATAGTGCCTCTTTTGAGCAGAGTCGGTAGTACTTCACTTTTATTATATAAAACGGATTCTATCCATTTACTTTTAGATCTACTAGTACTAGTTAACATGACATAGTTCGACCGGTTAAAGTATATATCTTCGACCAAAATTTTAGAGGTATGGACCCACCTTCACATGGTGTTAAATTCAAATAAAATATATTAATACTAGCTAGCACTCCACACCTGTTTCCAAAGTTTGAAAAATGATAAAATGAGCAGGTAGGCTTTGAATAATTAATATATATATATATATATAGAGGAAATAAAGCGAGAAAATATAAAATATAAAGTATCTTATATTTTTGGGTTAGGAACAACTCGTTGCCTTTGATCCATTTACCTAGATAACACTCAGCTGCTGCCTTCGCTCTCGTCTTCATGAAAATTTTTATCAATTTCGTTGTCTAGCAAGTATGCAAGAGACCCTGCAAATCGTGCATAAACTATTAGCATGCACCTATACAAATCACCAAATCTAACTTTAGAAAGTTTCTTTTATGCTCATTCTTATAAAAAAGAATTATAGAACAAATGATTAAAATCAATGCCTTGCAAGGACGCCAAAAGCTTGTTGTCCTAACAACTCCCAGTGTTTGAGCAAGTACAAGTATACAGTAAGAGGTTGTATCAAGTGATGAAATTTATCCATACAGGGAAGGGAAATTTGACTTCAGAAGCGGTTAACTAAACAAATATTTTTGTGTTATAAAACTAAATAACGAATAAATAAAAATCGCATAAACACAATATAAAGAACGTGTTGGGATAATGGAGCCAAACCAAGCAGAAAATCTTTTTCCTATAGGGAAAAAGTTTTTTGAATTTTTTCTTATCCTATTTAGTTTGAACTTTTTTATTTTCCCTTTCGCGTTTAGTTTTTGTCATACCATTTATTATAAATAGAAATATATAGATTAGTCATTTGATGGTGTGCATAAATACAGAGTCGTGAGAAATTCTCCAAGAAGAGGGATTTTCAGAGCTAAACACTTGTGTATCCATTTGAGAGTTCGAAACACTTGTAGAGTGATTCTTGAATGTTTTCTATGTGAGGGAAAGATGAGAGAAATCATTGAAATAACCTGTAAACTATTGGGAGATTCTTCCTGACATTTTAGTAGAACCTGCAACGGTAGTAGAGAATTGGATGTAGCCTACATTGGGTGAACCAATATAAATCTAGCGTTTAATTTTCTTCTTCCTAATCCTTATTTATCGTTCATGTTACTTAGAAATTTTAGATTATGTTAGTAATCTTTTAAGTGGTAAGTTCTAGTTTGAAATTTGAATTCCGCATTAATTAGTACCAGAACGTGATCTGGGATTAACTAACGAATATTGTCTGCATTTGAGATTGAGATAATTATTAGTTGGCTATATTTTTTACAACAATTGGTATCAGAGCCCAAGGTTGAAGAACGATGACTAGAGAAGATAAATTTGTTGTTTTTTATGGAACTAATTTTTCGTAATGGAAGGATCATATAGAAAATTATATACATTCCAAGGAATTGTAATTACCATTAGACAAGAAGTCGGGTGACATGGAAGAAGCCAAATGGAAACCCAAAAAATGAGACCAAAGCCGAAAATGCTAAAAAACAAGCATTCGGTTAAAAAATTGAGATCCAGCTGAGATTAATGAGCCAAAAGAGCCACGATCTTGAGGGAGCATGTTAAAGATCTCACATTGAAAAGAAAATAGACCTAACAAGGGTTTATAATAGACATGAGCTACTCCTCTCATTGCCAATTGGTTTTGAGATGAAACCCGATGAATATTAATAGACAGGAAGATGTGGGCAGAGCAGCGTCGCTAAGGAGACTACCACAATGGGGCTAATGACTGCACTATCCAACATGTATGAGGACCCACGCTAACAAACTAGTTATTGTTGATTTAACGTTTACGGATGAATTAAATGCTATCTTGTTGTTGAGATCCTTACCTGACAGTTGGGAGCCTATGAAGGCAGCTATTTCAAATTCTCGTGGAAAAAAGAAATTCACATTCGCAGATATCAGAGATGTAGCTCTTGGAGAGGAGATTTGTAGAAAGGATTATGGTATTGCGTCTACTTCTAGTACAACATGGAATGTGGACAGAGGAAGAAATAATAACAGAATAGAAAATCTGAGGAGGAACTACAAACTCCCAAAGCAAGCTAAAGGAAAAGAAGTTGGTGAAAATATTGTTGTTAAAGAAATACATGATACTCTAGTTCTTGAAGTTTAGGGCACTCATGACACATGGGTGGTGGATTCAGGTGTGTCTTTCCATACTATAGGACAATGTGACACTCTTGACAATTATGTTGCATGAAATCATGGAAAGATGTATCTTGCTGATGGAGAGTCTTTGGACATCATTAAAATTGGTGACATTAATTTAAAAGTGGCGAATGATTCAGTTTGAAAGATGCGCAAGGTACGTTACGTTTAGAATATGATGTAGATCATTCGAGTCAAACCCAATTATGACACAGTAGCCTGTGACATATGAGTGAAAAAGGTATGAAGATTCTTCACTCTGCAGGGAAGCCAGAATGACTTAAGGCAATGGAACACAAGTTATGTGAAGGGTGTATATTTGGGAAACTAAGTCTCTTAGTTTCTCAAAGATGGGTTCAATGCTAAAGGCTACAAAATTGGAGTTGGTCACACCAATGTGTGGGGGCCTACTAAAGTTTCTTCTATTGGAGGTTTAAGATACTATGTAACTTTCATAAAGGACTTAAGCAGGAATTTATGGACTTATTTTATCAAACATAAGTCTGATGTGTTTTCTATTTTCAAAACATGTAAGACTATGGTAGAGAATGAGATAGGCTTAAAAATCAAATTGTGATGGTAAAGACTCCTCCAGGAATACTACAGCGGAACGGTGTGGCGGAGAGAATGAACAGGACGCTGAATGAGCGTGCTAGGAGCATGAGAATACATGCAAAATTGGCTAAGATATTCTAGGTAGATGCAATCAATTGTGCGACCTATCTGATCAATAGGAGCTCGACCACATCACTAGACAAATTGCCTAAAGAAGTCTGGATTGGTAAACAAGTAAACCTTTCCCATCTAAAGGTTTTTGGCTGTGTATTTTACCTTTACACTGATGCTACAGACAGAAGTAAATTGGATGCCAAATCCAAGAAATGTTTCTTTAATGGGTATGGTGGAGCTGAGATAGGTTACAAATTTTGGGATGACTAAAACAAGAAAATTATCAGAAGCAAGAATGTGATCTTCAATGAGAAAATCTTATACAAAGACAGAAATACAGTTGATTCGGGAAAGACAGTGTTAGATGGAAATGCAAAGAAAACTCAATATATAAGTCCTCTGAGGTTGAGACCAAAACAATAGAGATTGAAGATCAAAATGCAGTTACTCTTGAAGAAACAGTTGTGGGATCTTATGAACAGGTTGTGGAATTTGAGGAACCAATTGTGGACGAAATTGATGAAGTTCAGAGAGCACCACCAACAATAGTTAGAAGATCTAATAGAATAATGAAATCACTACATAGGTATTCCCCTACATTGAATTACATTTACTGACTGATAGAAGTGAACCTGAGATGTTATGAAGAGGCAATTTAGTTGGAAGAATCTGTTAAGTGGGAGTTAGCCATGAAGGATGAAATGAATTCTCTAATGACTAATCAGACACATCAACTTGCTCAGTTACCAAGAAGTAAGAAAGCTTTGTAGAATAAATGAGTATATTGAATCAACCAGAACCCCGATGGTAGCAAAAAGTACAAGACAAGGCTTATAATCAAAGACTTTCAATAAAAGGAAGGTATTACGCCTTTAATGAGATTTTTTCTCCCGTAGTTAAACTACCATTAGGATTGTTTTATCAATAGTGACAGAATAAGATTTGTTCATGGAACAAATGGATGTAAAAACAACTTTTCGTCATGGTGATTTTGAGGAAGAAATTTGCATGCCACAGGGATTTACAATACAGGGGCAAGAGAAAATGATATATAAACTTTAGATTAGCCTGTATGGTATCAAACAGGCACCCATACAATGGTATAAGAAGTTTGACAGTTTTATGTGCAATAGTGGATTTCAGAGGTGTCAGGTAGATCATTGCTGCTACATAAGAATTCAGGGTAACTCATTCAACATTTTATTGCTATATGTTGATGACATGTTGATAACAGGATCAAATAAAGAGGAAATTCTAAAGATAACGACTGAATTATCTAAAGAATTTGACATGAAAGATTTGGGAGTTGCCAAACAAATCTTAAGGATGAAGATTGAGAGAAAAATGGTATTTTAACATTGTCACAAAAAGAGTATGTGAATAAAGTGTTAAACAGATTTAACATGGAAAATGCAAAACTTGTGAATACTCATTTAGCTAGTCATTTTAAATTATCTAATGAGCACTTACCCACTATCGAGCAGGAAATAGATTATATGGCTAGAGTGTCATATGCTTCAGCTAGGAAGCCTAATGTCTTTCATGGTTTGCACAAGACCGGATATTGCACATACAGTGGGAGTTGTCAACAGGTATATGAGTAACATAGGAAAGCAACACTGGGAGGTCCTGAAGTGGATCTTCATATACTTGAGGAAGACGAATGATTATGCTCTGCACTTTAAAAAGTCATATTTTAATTATAGGGATATATAGATGCAAATATGACAGGAGATACAGATGTCAGAAAGAGTACTATCGAGTACGTTTTTACATTGGGTAATATTGTGATTTGTCGGGTCTTTAGACTGCAGAAGATAGTAGCACTTTCTACTATAGAAGCTGAGTATGTTGCAGTTACTAAAGCAAGCAAAGATATTACTTCAATCTTTCTCGGAATAACTTGGCTTGAGATTTGGAAAAGAAACTTTGCATTGTGACAGTCAAAACACTATTCAGTTAGCAAAGAATCCAGTGTTTCATTTGAGAACGAAACACATATAGATAAGATAGCATTTTATCATATCAGGTTTACAAGATGGGATGCTGCTGCTTGAAAAGATTCCAGGTTATCTAGATCCAGTAGATATGTT